ATATTTATAAATGTTACGAACACACAACTCTATGCATTACGTTTAAATTTAATTGCGCACAAACAAGCTTAAAAAATCACTTATGTAGTAACACATATAAAATTTATACGTACTCGTAAATAAGTTCCGTTTCAACGATAACAATTCCAGATTACTTTTCTTAACAAAACAGTTTAAACAACTAAAATACCAATCAGTTTATTGAAAGTATATCATAGATGTCAGGATCTATGAATCGCTAACGACTTTATTAAACTTAAGGTTATATCCGAAAAATCAAGCACATTGATACAAAATTCTTCTTATTAAAATATTGCTTTATCTAACAGTTAGAAAATACTGAATAGATAACATTAATCACTGCTAAAACAGATGGATTTGTAAACAGAATACCGAGAAACGGATATCAACTACAGGGTGAACATGACTTACAATGGTAGTCGGTTCATTGTTTTTTAACGTTTCTTCGATAGCAAAACAATCTGAGACAGAATAGATTTTTTTCCGATACTGAGATTTCTATCGTAATTCAAAATTACGAACAGCAATTAACTGGATCATAGTTCGCCGAGAAGAATTATTTCATCTCTACAGAAAAAGAGTTAATCTCGGAATATTTTCTTATATTATTACGAATGGAATTCACACCAATAACAAAACGTATTAGAACACTATACGGGAACATTAATTGAGCATATTAGAACGTTTTATCACGATAAAAACGTTAATTACGAAGGACATAATACTATCTGCAAAGAAATGTAATTTTAATAGAATATATATAACATTTTCTTAACGCGAGTACAATTTTAATAGAATATATATAACATTTTCTTAACGCGAGTACAATTTTAATAGAATATATATAACATTTTCTTAACGCGAGTACAATTTTAATAGAATATATATATAACATTTTCTTAACGCGAGTAAAATTTTAATAGAATATATATAACATTTTCTTAACGCGAGAACAATTTTAATAGAATATATATAACATTTTCTTAACGCGAGTACAATTTTAATGGAATATATATAACATTTTCGTAACGCGAGTACAATTTTAATAGAACAATATTTTTTTTTCAAAGAGAATTTTAACTGTAAAAAACACACAGATAAGAAATAGAAGATAAATCCTGACAAAACATATTAATACACTTCCTTCTAATCGACTCATACAACATACAAGGTGATCAGTTTGCGTTGAAATATTCGATAGATCATAGCGAGGGGAAGCACATTATAATAATGAAGTCAATTGAACCATGTTTCAGAACAGTGTCTTACGAAGGACAGAAATTAATATTTTAATATAACGCATTAGAAAATATTTAGAGTCGATCCGGCCCATAACAGCGTGTGCCACCAACTTCTAACAACAACAAAAAAGTTAATTCCAATATAAAATATGATACATTTTGGCCATAAGCATGGTAGAGCTGTTCATTATGATAATTAAGAATAAAATGATCTGAAAATAAGAACATTTTGGGTAATTGTATGTGCAAAAAACACTTTATAATGCAGTTGTTATCAAAGACCCTTAATCAGTTTGTAAAGGATTCAAAATGAAGAGAGAAAAAGAGAGAGAGAGGGGGGTATTCACTGCTCTGAAGATTAACGTAACTTAGCGACTGATGGAAGTTAACTCTTAGAGAACCAATGGAATCACCGTGCCTCTACAGAGATTAATTACAGCAGTACAACAAAGACAGACAGAGAAAGCAGCTTGCCACTCATGAGAATAACTAAACTCAAGAGAATATATGTCGGGGGTTTCTTACTCTGTAGTAAATTAATTACGATCCACTTGCATATGAAGACAAAGACAGACTACCACAATGTTTAATTCTCGTTTATCAAAGATGTTCTGATTAGCAATGGCATCTTAGAATCTATATTAGATGCGATATAAATGTTTATAATATTCAATGTGGTTTCGGACACAGATAGTATTAGTCTATAGATGAGACAAAATAAATTATTATTCTGGAAAAACAAGTTTTATATGATAGCAAAACTCGATAAGACCTACCATAAATGACGTTCTGGCATTTAACCAAAAAGTTATTCTAAAAATCGAACAAGAAACTTTTTACAGGTTCCGGAAAGGTGGCCAAGTACTAAAATGTTCGTCATTATAGTGTAACGAATTTGTTGTTATGTATTTATTTTAATATGAACGTTGTTTA